AAAAAATTAGCGCTTCGTTGTAATCAGATATTGAGTCATTAATATGATGTAGAGCTTAATAGTTTGATAATTCTTAGAGAAAAAAATTTTCATTATAAATTAACATTAACTTTTTTATATTTTCAAGTAGACAATATCAAAACTCAAGCAAATTGATAAATGTTTAAAATGTTTTCTCTATTTTGTTTGTCAATATTCCAATGATAATGTTACCACTCATGATGTAACTTTAACATATACAGCATAAAATATACTAATGTCAATGTTACCCCATATAGAGGTAACATTAACAGTTGAACCCTAAAAACAAAATTAGTTATCAATCAATAATATTAGATAACTAATTAAATGATTCATCAGTTTATGGCAGTATTATCATTTGTAAATACATAGAAATATTGCATACCAAATTTAGTTTGTCACAGCTATAAAAAAAATATTTTCTTAAGATGTGTCAATGTTACCCCACTTTACCTTAATTGAAGATAGTTGCATATGCAGGTTGTCAACAAAGTTTATGACAAAATTTTTGAATGAGTTGTTAGCATGTTTTTGAAATTAGAATGTGTATAACATAATATAGGAGTTTTTTTTTTTGTTGTTGAAAATTTACTTAATTTTCAGCTTGTTCTTACGGGTAAAAAAATAAGTTGATAAATGTTGGTAAATTGCAAAAAATTGATATAATCTTATTGCTCCCAGATCAGAATTCATCTCTGTTCACACCCTATTAACTGAGTAAAATTGGATTGGTTGAGTGAAAAAACTCATGATCATTAGAGTGGATGCTTATGTTGGGTGAAACACTTGTATAAAGAACAACAATATTTTAATTCTTATAAGTTTTTCTACTCTAAAATAAACAAAGTAAATAATCAACACAACATTCTCTGCAGCCATAATATAAACAGAATATACTATAATATAAACAAGCTTCTTCATGTATCTTCTTCTATAAGTCGTAATGGTCGACGAATTACTCTTGAGGATCTACGTGTGTCTTTTCCAGGTGTTATTAATAACGGCGGATTGATCGGGCAAGCATCATTGACAAGATTTTCAGCTAGTAGAGGTTGATAAAGGGGAGGCTGATTAGGAAAGTTTTCAGGATTGGTATTGGTAAGTCCATATTTCTCAGGTGTTAATGGTTTATAGGGGTAAGAAGGTTTATTAAAAGCATTTTCTGGTAAAGGTTCAATATTATTAAAGGCATTCTCTGGTGAAGGTTCAATATGTTTGATCAATGATCGGAGCAGAACTTGTTGGAGCTAAGTGTCTTAGAGAAACTGTGGTTTCTCTTCCATCTGGATACTTTATGTGAGCATATTGAGGATTAGCATCTATGAGTTGCACTTCGTCTATCAGTGGTTCATACTTATTATTACGTAAATGTCTTTTCATTAGTATTGGTCCAGGATGACTTAACCGTGAAGGTAAAGTGCATCCAGAGGCTGTTTTACGAAGGTGCTTAAACATTCTTTCATGAGGTGTCTCCATCGTTTTAGTATTTACTAAGGATCTTATAGAATGGAGAACGTCTGGCAATAATTTTTCCCAAGCTTTGATGGGTAAAGTGTATTGTCTAGTAGCAATCTCAATAGACTTCATTATGGTTCCATTATACTTTTCGGCTTGTCTATTCCCTTGTGGATTATATGCTGTAGTATGACTTGTTGCAATCCTTTCTCTAGTAAGTATTGTTTTAATTCTTTACTGATGAAGGCTGAACCTCTATCGGAATGGATGTAACTTGGCAAACCAAAAACCGAGAATACTTGTGACAAACACTTAATTACAGTCTGAGCTGAAATATCAGGGAACGGGATTGCAAAAGGAAAACAAGAATACTCATCAATTATGGTTAAAAAATACTTAGTTTCCAAAGGAAGAGGTCCTTTAAAATCTAAGTTCAAACGTTCCAGTGGTTGTGTCGCCTTTATCAAATTAGATTTTAGTGGTTTGTAGTATCTAGGCTTACATTCACAACATAGTTTGCACTGATTAGTTATTCGTTTAACATCATCAATTGAAAAAGGTAAATTACGGTTTTTAATAAAAGTATAAAACCTAGTTACTCCAGGATGACAGAGTGATTGATGAAGCTGAATTAAGTTGTTAGTGTTTATTGCTGAGCAATGTATTCTAGAAAATGTGTCAGCTGGAATATTTAGTTACCCTTCCCTGTAAACAATGTCATAATTGTAGCACGATAGTTCAATTTTCCATTGATAAATTTTATCATTTTTAATCTTTGATTTATGTTGCTTTTCGAAGATATAGGACACAGGTTGCTGATCAGTAATAAGTTTAAAATGGCGTCCAGTAAGGTAGTGTTTCCAATGCCTGACTGCTTCTATTATTGCGCAAGCTTCTTTTTCAATAGAGGGATGTTTGAGTTCAGATTTTTGAAGTAATCTTGAAAAGAAAGCTACAGGGCGGCCATTTTGATTAAGAACTGCAGCTATAGCAATGTCAGATGCGTCCGTTTCTACTTCAAATGGAACATTTTCGTCCACATAATCTGTCACAGCATTTGCAATGTCTTGTTTAAGTTGATTGAAATCATTTACACACTGATGATCTAATGGGTACTTGGTGTTTTTGGTAAGAGAAGCTATCTTATCGGAAAAGTTTGGAATCCATTTAGAGTAGTATGAGAATAGTCTGATGATACGCTATATGGATTTAGCATCATGAGGAGGCATTTCTTTCATAGGTTGAAGACGACTGGGATCTGGTTTGAGTTTTCCTTCTTCTATAAGATAACCAAGAATGTAAATTTTATCTTGGGAATAGCTACATTTATCATGATTATAAGTAAGATTTATATTTTCAGCTGACTTGAGAAATTTTTCCAGATTAAGATCATGCTCCTCTTGGGTTTTACCACATATTGTTACATTATCTAGATAAGCATAAGTATCTAAAAGTCCTTCTTTTTCTATAAATTCGTTTATGGTACGTTGAAAACAAGCAATGCCATTTTCAATTCCAAAAGGCATTTGCTTAAATTGGAACAACCTCCCATTTGCTTCAAAAGCTGTAAATTTTCTATCATTTTTAGTAATTGGAATTTGATGGTATGCTGATTTCAAATCAACTGTACTAAATATTTTGTATTGAGCAATTTTGTTTACTAGATCATCAATCCTTGGTAATGGGCAAGCGTCTAGTTGAGTATACTTATTTATTGTTTGACTGTAGTCAATAACTAACCTTTTCTTAGAGCGTTCTCCTTTAGTTACAACTTCCTGAGCTCTCCAGGGAGAATTTGCATGTTCAATAATGTCCTCTTTAAGCATACGTTGTACTTCCATTTCAATGAATAATTGGTCTTCTTTGCTATATTGACGAGATTTTGAAGCTATTGGTTTACAGTTAGGCGATAAATTGCCAAATAAACTAGGAGGAGATACATTCAACTTCAACAAACCACAAATTAATAGTGGGGGTCTTCTCCCTTCAAACTTAAGGGTTACAGCTTTGTGTTGTTTTGAAAATCGAGACCCAGAATAACATCCATGCATAACTCATTTAAGATGTTAAGTTTTACTAGTTTATAATGCTCATTTTTTATTGAAATATTGACAAAAACTACTCCACAAATTGTACTAGATAAAGATGATGAAGCCATAGATACCTGTTTTTGGTTTTGTCTATGAACTGTTAGGTTTAGTTTTTGTACCAATCGAGGGTGAATAAAACTATCAGTGCTACCACTGTCAATGAAAGCATTTACAAATGAACCATTAACCAACATGCCAATTGTTGATTTAGTCAAAGGTGAAATGGAAGCAGAAATGTTCTTTAAATTAGTTTTATGTTCAGGGTAGTCTAGTCAAGTGAGTGAAGGATTGTATGAGTTCAAAAGTTGATCAACAAGATTCATCCCTGCTGTTGTAAGTTTAGAAGATTTACATAACTTGGCAAAATGACCAACTTTCTCACATTTAAAACAAATCGACTCTCTAGCAGGACAGACAGCTTTAGCATGTCTTTCATTCCCACAGTTCGAGCAATTTGAAACAGAATTTGAGTTAAATTGCTTCGGCTTTTTTGTTATTGCAGCTACTGTTGTATCTGATGTATTATACTGGAGGTAATTTTCAGCATTTTTCTGCGCTGATTCCAAGGTTCTAGCTTTTGAAAATATTTCATCCAGACTTATTGTACTGTTTTCTAGTAGTCTATGTCTGACAACCTGTGAATTTATCCCTGTTATAAATGCATATCTAACATATTCATCGTGATATTCAATAGCAGACACCTCTTTAAAGTTACATTCTTTTGCTAAAACTTTAAGAGCGTGTAAATACTCATCAAAACTTTCTCCTGGCTGTTGCTTACGAGTTGCCAAGAGGTGTCGTGCATAAACCTCATTTGATGGTTTGATGTACACAGATTGTAAAGCTTGTATTGCTGCTTCATAATTTGGACATTTGCTTATTATTTTATAAACATCAGGCACAACGAAATTAGTCAGGATTTTTAACTTATTGAGTTCTTGAAGGAGTTCATCAAGATAATATTCAAATGTTCTGAGCCAATGTTTAAATAATTTTGTTGCCGATGGTGAGTTTGGTAATGTATCCAAGCGAGAAGGTCTTAGAGCTCTATCCATATTTTATTTTGATAAGAGTAGAAAATTGAAACACTTGTATAAAGAACAACAATATTTTAATTCTTATAAGTTTTTCTACTCTAAAATAAACAAAGTAAATAATCAAAACACAACATTAGGACAGATCTTTTAAAATAAAATCTATTCTCAAGTTATCACTCTGTAACAATAGTAAACAAAAAGTGGAAAGAGTTTTACTATTATAGGGAGAGAAAAGAGTTTTTTAATAATGCAAACCTATTTATTTTTTACTGTTTAAAAAGTTCCTGTTTTTTACTTTTTGTTATGCTTGTATAGTTTTAAATTATTATAAAAAAAAATTATATGTAAATATATTTTTTACTCTAATAATGTACTCTTTTGTATTATATAAATTTAGGAAAAAAAATTGACGGTATTTGGTAAGTTTCATTACTTTATTATTTTTATATTATAAATATTGTTGTTGTTGTTGTTGTTTTAGATAATATTTAGTTATTATCATTATTACAATTCTAGAATAGTTATGTAATAATTTTATAAAAGTAAACTTTATAAAATTCTAGAATAGTTATGTAATAATTTTATAAAAGTAAATTTTATAAAATTCTAGAATGTTATCTAATAATTTTATGAAAGAACACAAAAAGAGTTATTATTTTATTATTTATTTAGTTTACACAATTTTTTATTTTTTTTGTGGTTTTATTTTAAATCAATTCTATAATTCAATAATAATTTATGCTGTTTTGCTTTTGATATTTATTTATTTAAAAGATTTCATTTATTATCATTTTGTGCATTATTATTGCCATCTAATTTTAGTAATATTTATTTATTTACAAGAAGTTCATTTTTCATTTATTATCATGTGCATTATTATTTTATTCAATTGATTATTAAATTTGTGCTTACCAATCAGTAGTTGAATTTGTATCTATGAATTAATAAGATTAACATAAAAGTGCTTTGATTTTTTCTTTCCAATAATATCCAATATCTTTAATTATCGAAATCCAAAATTTATTTATAAATACTTGTTTTTAAACTTTAGATTTTAAGTTGTATGTCTATCTTTAAGTTGACTTGAAGTTGTATGTCTATCTTTAAGTTGATTTTAAGTTGTATCTCTGTCTTTTGAAATTGCTATATGCAGTATTTTTTTTTAATTTTGAGACCTTTCAACATAAATGCTATATATGCCCCATTTATTTGTACCTTGGTGTACAATTTGTGCAATGTGTGTATTTATTTGTACCTTTGAATATTATTTTAAATTTCTTTTAAATATTCCTAATATTTTTTTCTGTGTTATTTGTCATAGGGGTCTTCCATAAAGAACGTACAAAGTTATAGGGGAGGGAGTGAGGTCACTCAAAAGTTTAGGTATGCTTACAATGGGGGGAGGAGGTGATTAAAGAATGCGAGTACATAAGCGGTGTAACTATTTTCTTGTTCTTTCTCCTAATACTTGTTTGTTTGTTTGTTTTTTATCTAAAAAATAGAATTACATAGGTTTAAAAAAGCTATTTTATGTTGAAGTTTTTTTTTTAATGTTTTGAAAAATTTATGCGTTGGGAAGAGGATTGATTTTGTAATAAAAGTTGGATATGTACACAGAAAAGGAGGGGGAGCAAAGAGAGAGGTTGGGGGAGGGCAATCATTGAAAGCACATAGTTACAAGAGGGAGGTAGGGGGTTCTATATTAATGGTTTAACTGTCTACATACTTTTTGGATGTCCACATCATAAAATTGCTAATATTTAATATTCAAACAAACTTATGTTGACAGCAATCATTTAATAATGGTCTAACTTGGTTTGCTTTATCAATAAATACCTGAACACCTTCATCATCATTTTCTGGGACATAATTTAAAAATGTTCTAAAATAGTCAAATTATGATAAGCTAAAGCTTTACCACTGATATAAAACTGCTAAATATAAAAGGTAAATATAAAAGCTAAATATAACTGCTAAATATAAAATATATTAAATATTACAGATAAATATAAATTAATTAAAGATTTAATTTAATGATGAGCTGCCTTTTCAGCAAATAGGACTGGCATCAAAACGGTGAATGTAATCCTCATCACATAGTATTTAAAGGTATTCTAAAAGTGTAAAGTCTCATCAGGTTCAAAATAAGTCAAATTAATGGAAAACAGTTGCCTAATTTGTTTATGCATCAGAGTTATAACAGCTTCAGTTAATGTATTTCTCCTAACAAGTTTTTCTTATTTTAAGAATAACTTTTTTTGGTTATGTCATTATCTCTTTTTATACAAAACACTCATGCCCATCTTTCTAAAGTAGTCTTTTTGACCTTATCAAAATTTAACCGGGATTGTCTTTTGGCTAAAGTCTTTTAACCAAAAACAAGCTTTTTTATCATTTTTTATCAATTTACAAAACCCTGACTTTTAGCTTTTTTCTACTGTGCATCTTGAATAAGGTGTGTGATGTAATTTGAAATACTAATTACTGTGATTGTTGTGTCATGCAACATATCTTCATCTCTGGCTTTTACTGCATCTAGAACTGTTTGGATAGATTTAAATAGATCTAAACAACCAGCACATACTTTTTACTTACACATACTTATCACCTATATGCGAAAGATTGTCATATAATTTGGGGATTAATGTGTCCAATAATGTGAAGGATGTTAAATGTAAATGCATTTCTTAAGAAGGAACAGCCAAATAATAAGATAGCGTTTTTTCAAGTAATATTTTCCATGTTCAAGAGAATCAGATACACCTTTGTCATATGAACTATGTTTTGCCATATCCAACAATTTGTAGAAACCATTAAATCCAGATGCTGTGATATTGTCTAGTCCTGCTAAGCACTTTTTTTGTAATGGTTTGATTGCATATATGTGTGTGTGTGTGTGTGGGTGTGTGTATAAATATACATATATATATATATATACACACACATACACACACACACACACACACACACACACACATATATATATATATATATATATATATATATATATATATATATATATATATATATATATATATATATATATATATATATATATATATATATATATATATTTTTTTTTTTTTTTTTTTTTTTTTTTTTTTTTAACATCTTCAGTTCCAACAAGGCTGCAAGCAACCACTATAAGAGTTGGAAGTTACTGGAAGAGAAAAGACTAAATCTGTAGAGCAAGATAACGATTGACTGATGACTTAAAAGATTGCAAATTATATGAATCAGGAAAGCAAGATGAAGGAAGCGAATTCCAAAGAACTGATGTTCGAGGAAAAAAACTAGAAGAATAAGAGTTTTTGAAGCACTTAGGAACAGTCACAGAAAAAGGATGAGACTTAATTGAATGGCGAGTAACACGAGAATGAATTTTAGTAGATGGCACAAGGGACGCTAGCTCTTTAGAGCAGTGCCCATTATAGTATTTGTAGAAAAGAGAAAGAGAAGCAACATTACGACGATGTGACAAAGGTTGGAGATTGGCTGCCAGAGCAGGTCCAACTATGTTTACAATTCGTTTTTGCACCTTGTCTAAAAGAGAAAGAGCATCATTAGAAGATCCGCCCCAGATGTGGCAACAGTATTCCATACAGGGACGGATTTGAGATTTATAGAGATAGAGAATAGAATCTGGAGTAAGAAAGTGTCGAGCTCGATAAAGAGATGCAACCTTAGCAGATGCTAATTTTGCAATGGATTTGATATACGGTTTAAAAGAAAGATCAGAAGTAAGAGTTAATCCTAGAAGATGAATGGTAGATGACTCATCTAGTACATTACCATTCATAAATATAGGAAGATCTAAATTATTACGATAACGATTGGCCGAATAAAATTGAGTTTTATCTGAATTAAAGTTCACCAGCCACTGTGAGCCCCATGCTGTAGCAGAAGTGAGATCCTTTTCAAGCTCAGATACCCCCTCCAAGCAATCAGAGAGTGTAGGCTTCTTATCATGACAAGAGTAAATGGTAGTGTCGTCAGCGAATAATGCCACCTTAGATGTGAGAATATCTGGAAGATCGTTAATGTAAATTAAAAAGAGTATAGGGCCAAGGATTGAACCTTGAGGAACCCCTGAAGTTACAGGATGTGAAGAAGAGTGTTGTCCATCGAGGACAACTTTTATACTACGATTGGAAAGAAAGGACTCAATAATCTTAAAGACGTTACCAGCTACACCATAAGAAGAAAGCTTATGGAGAAGACCAGCATGCCAAACTTTATCAAAAGCTTTAGAAATGTCAAGTGCGATAGCCTTAACCTCTCCACCTCTATCTAATGCACGGTAAAACCTATCGGTTATTACTGTTAGCACATCAGCTGTAGAACGAGAAGACCGAAATCCATATTGATGGTCAGAAAGTAAGTTATTTGATTCAAGATGAGAGATTAAGTGTTTGTTAATTAAAGATTCAAAAACCTTGCTTATGACAGGAAGAAGAATAATGGGATGGTAGTTAGATGAATCAGATCGCTCTCCGGAATTTTTGAAAATAGGGATAACAGATGCTGCTTTCCAGCATGATGGAAAACAAGACTCTGATAAGCACTTGTTAAATAGTTTAGAAAGTATGGATGAAAGCTCCGGAGAACACCTCTGCAAAACTACAACAGGAATGTTGTCAGGACCACAAGCTGTTGAAGAGTCTAAGCAGGAAATTACTTTAGATACAGAAGCTGAAGTGATGCGAATGTCAAGCAAGGGATCAACCTGTTTGACGGCTATGTCAGGTAAAACGCAACTAGTGGAATCAAGAGATGATATTGATGAAAAGTTCTTAGCAAACAATTCAGCTTTGTCTTTAGGTGAGGTGACAAAGTCTGAACCATACAAGAGAGAAGGAATAACAGATTTGCCCTTATTATTGATACTGTTAAAGATTCTCCAGAAGTCTCGAGAGCCTAATTTTTGTGATGAGATACGAGATTTAATGACCTGGGAATAGCGAGTTTTGGCGTCAGACAAAACCTTTTTACAATGGTTTCTGGAGATAGTGAACAGATGTCTGTTTTCTGGAGAATTGTTTTGCTGATAGATATGGAAGTAACGGTTTCGATTAGAAATTGCTGCAGCGCAATGTGAGGAAAACCAAGGAGAAGAGTGAGGCGTAACCTGGAATCGTCGAGAGGGAATAAAAGATTCCATGCCAGCCTGAATCCACGAAGTTATGTAAGAAGCACATTTGTCAGCAGGAAGACGAAAGATTTCTACCCAAGGGCCATCACGAAGAAAATCACGGAAAGAGTCCCAGTCAGCTTTAAGGTAGTTGTATGTGGTACGATGATAGGGGGATTCTGATGAAGTAGAAGAATTTGATAATAGTTTTAGAGAGATCAAACCGTGATCAGAAGTACCTAAGGGTGAATGTGGAGAAATTGAGCACTGACTAGGATCCAAAACAAG